TTGTATAAGGGTAAGTTTCAAATTCAGAAATTCTGGCACTTTTTATAAAAGTGGCTGTCGCACACTGTATAAGGAAAAGCGTGAAATTGTGAAATTGTGAAATTGTACTCTTTTCTATAAGAGTGGCTATCGCACACAGTATATGGATAAGTTTGAAATTCTGGTACTTTCTATAAGAGTACCTATCGCGCATTGTATAAGGGTAAGTTTCAAATTCAGAAATTCTGGCACTTTTTATAAAAGTGGCTGTCGCACACTGTATAAGGAAAAGCGTGAAATTGTGAAATTGTGAAATTGTACTCTTTTCTATAAGAGTGACTATCGCGCACTGCATGAGGATGAATTTGAAAATCAGATATTCTGAAATTCTAGCATTTTCTATAAGAGTAGCTATCGCTCGCAGTATAAGGATAAGTTTGAAATTCTGCCACTTTCTATAGGAGTGGCTATCGCGCACTGTATAGGGATAAGTTTCAAATTCTTAAACACTGGCACTTTCTATACGAGTGCCTATCGTCCGCAGTATAAGGATAAGTTTAAATTCCGAAATTTTGAAATTCTGGCACTTTCTATACGAGTGGCTATAGCACACAGTATAAGGATAAGTTTCAAATTCCGAAATTCTGAAATTTTGAAATTCTGACACTTTGTATAAGAGTAGCTATCGCGCACTGTATAAGCATAAATTTCAAATTCTTGAATACTGGCACTTTCTATAAGAGTGACTATAGCGCACTTTATCGCGCAATTTTCTTGAAAATCTGAAATTCTGAAATTCTAGCATTTTGTATAAGATCGGCTATTGCACACTGTATAAGGATGAATTTAAAATTCTGGCACTTTCTATAAGAGTGGCCATCGCGCACTGTGTAAGGAAGTGTCAAATTGTTGAATACTGGCACTTTCTATAAGAGTGGCATTTATATAAGTTTGAAAATCGGAAATTCGGAAATTGTGAAATTCTGCCGTTTTCTATAAGAGTGCGTATTCCACACTGTATACGGATAAGTTTTACATTCTGAAATTCTGCAATTCCGAAATTCTAGCATGTTCCATAAGAGTGGCTATCGCACACGGTATAAGGGTAAGTTTGAAATTCAGAAATTCTGGCACTTTCTATAAGACTGGCTATCGCACGCTGTATAAGGCTAAGTTTCAAATTCAGAAATTCTGACATTATCTACACGAGTGCCTATTGCACATTGTATATAGATAAGTTTGAAATTTTGAAATTCCAACATTTTCTATAAGAGTGGCTATCCAACACTATATAAGGAGAAGTTTCATTGTTGAACCCTGGCACTTTCTATAAGAGTGGCTATCCCATTGAAATTCTGAAATTGTGCAATTCTGCCGTTTACTATAAGAGGGGCAATCGCACAGTCTATATGGATAAGTTTGAAATTCTGAAATTCTGACATTTTCTACAATAGTGGCTATTGCAGACTGTACATGGATAAGTTTGAAATTCCGAAATTCTAACATTTCCTATCCGAGTGGCTATCGCACACTGTATGAGAATGAACTTGAAATTCTCAAATTCCGAAATTTTGACATTTTCTATACGAGTGGCTGTCGCGCGCGGTATAAGGAAAAGTTTGAAATGCCGAAATTTTGAAATGCTGGCACTTTCTATACGAGTTGCTATCGCACACTCTATAAGGATGAATATGAAATTCTGAAATTTTGACATTTTCTATAAGAGTGGCTATCGCGCACTGTATAAGGATGAGTTTGAACATCTGAAGTTCTGATATTCTAGTATTTTCTTTAAGAGCGGCCACCGCAGACTGTATAAGGGTAAGTTTGAAATTCTAGCACTTTATATGCGAGTAGCTATCGCGCACTGTGTAAGGATAAGTTTCTAATTCTTAAATACTGGCACTTTCTATAAAAGTGGCTATCGGACGCTGTATGAGGATAAGTTTGAAATTCTGAGATTGTGAAATTCTGCCGTTTTCTATAAGAGTGGCTAGCGCACACAGTGAAGTTTGAAATTTTGAAATTCCGAAATTTTGACATTTTCTATACGAGTGGGTATCGCACACTGTATAAGGGTAAGTTTGAAATTCTGAAATTCTGACATTTTCTACAAGAGTGACTATCGCGCGCAGTATAATGATGAGTTGTTTTTTTGTTGAATTCTGAGATTCCGAAATAATTTCAAAATTTCAGAAGTTCGGAATTTCAAACTTATCCTTATACAGTGTTCGATAGCCACTCGTATAGAAAGTGGCAGCATTTTCTATAAATAATTCTCAACATTTCAGTGTACATCTAAACATAGCGGAAAAAGTTTTGATTCTTCTCGAAAACACTTCTGTAACCTATCCATATGTTGGAAAATATTATTGCGCGGTAATCGTTTTCAACATCCCTTTCCCCTAGCTCAGCTGTAGGGTCATTCATGTCTTAAGTTTCACTTTTTGCAGTCCTTCCGGATATATAACGATGCAAGAGCTTGATCAATATCGACTGTATTTCCATAACGTTCAGCCGGTTTCTTTTCTCGTTTAGAGCGTTTTAGTTCTTCTGATTTAGCTTGTTCAACTTCTTGTTCTCTTTCAAGGTAGCGTACTCAATGAATCTTCGACACACTTGTCTTTTCGTTTTTCCAATGTACGAGGCTTCACGATCTGTAGAGTCAACTTATGAACCATAAATGATTGCAAGTCCTTTTGCACGGGATCCTTTGTTGGGAGGAAAATGGAAAGTTTAGCAGATGGGTGTGAGATAGGCTGCAAATGTAGATCAAGACGTGCTTCCTGCGTTAAATTAATTAGCTTCTTTCCTAAAGTTTCAGTTGATTCCAAAGAATAGTATATCAATAAAAACCTAACGTTTTCTTATAGCTGAAATGCTGGAAGCTGTCACTTTTTTTACTGATGTTGTCGATTTAGTACCTTTTTCAGTTTGTTGATCCAAAGTACGTTTAATAATTCCATTTACAAAGTTTAACAGATAACCATTTTGATGTGAAATATCTCGAATGAACTGAAATTCTTTTCGTGAGATTTTTATAGGTGGAAGAAACTCGTATTGCACCACATGCCATACTGCTGATAGCACTAATTTTATAGAAACGAGGCAGAAAAGATGTCCATTTCGTAACAGCCCAGAGAAAGTCTTCTATCTATATATAGTTGTAATGAAACGAGAGGTCGAATGACGCTGAAAGATTATTGCGCAATAATCTTTTCCAACATATGGATAGGTTACAGGAGTGTTTTCGAGAAGAATGAAAACTTTTTCCGCCATGTATGTATTATGTCATCTGATTTTTCTTTTATAATGTTGTATCTGTCTTGAGAATGGCCTTTTAAAGAGTCGAAACGTCGACTCTGTAAATACAGCGTCACATAACACTCGAGAGTGTGTCATCAGCTTTTTCAGTTTTTTTCAAGTTTGCTCTGAATACAAACTCCTTGTACATATAACAGCATAATGCTCCGCTTTTGTTTTGGTCGTTCATTACTAACTCGTTCGTTCCTCCGATACACAAGAGATGTGAACAAACCTAGATCGAGAAAAGAGAAAAAGTACTTATCATACACATACGTATAATAAGAATGTTTTGTTGAATGAAACCGTAAGCAAAGATAAGAGAAGAATTAATTTTCAAGGGCATGAGTTTACATCATATCGATCCTAATATTTCAAATACACTATAATCAACAAGCTAATGAAGGAAGCGTCTCAAGTGATACTCTTGTTTTGTGTTAAAAACTGGTTTTTAATGCATCATTTTTTATCCTGACTTCGAATCTTTCAAATCTTTCGGAAGTCAGGCCTATCCTAGGTGACTGTCTACTAAATGTAAACCTCCAGAAGTCCAGTACGGAGATTCGGTGACTAATGAATAGACGGCGCTTCACATGCAGTAGACAGTCACTTAGGATAGGCTTAACTGCGACGACAGATTTCATTCAACAAAACATTCTTATTATCAGTATGTATATAATAAGTACTTTTTCTCTTTTCTCGATCTAGGTTTGTGCACGTCTCTTGTGTATCGGAGGAACGAACGAGTTAGTAATGAACGACCAAAACAAAAGAATAAAGAGCAAGTGTTCATGTCCAGATCATAGATAATAACAGTCGTTGTAGTCCAGAAACAATGTAGTCTTGTATTTCTTTTCGTCGTTCAGTCGTCCGACAGAGAAAAGATATGAATACGCCTCGGTTAATTAAGAATAGAGAAAGAGGAATTGTCATATATGTCTAAAAGAAATGTTTCATGCAATAAAAATAGTGTATATTGAACACAGGCGCTAGATGACGATGTCAAGGTAGGTTTGATCATTTTGTACACACGAAATTTAGTCCATACCTGATTGTATCTATAGTGATGATGGCAAAACTAGTGGCTTTTGCAATACAGATATGGTAGTCGAAGATACATAATAACTAAAAGGTCCGCTTCGTATGACTTCAGCAAAAACATCAATGTCTTTTTTTAGAACAATGACTAATCCCATTGTTGGTTTTGATCAATTGCCATCGGAAATAATTTTGTACATAATGGACTTGTTAAATCCTCTGGATGTTATTCAATCATTTTTTGGTGTTAATAAACGTTTTCATAAACTAATTCAGCATTACACATACTCATTAGATCTTCGAGAACGAGATGATGATCAATTTACAACACAATTATTCAAAAGTTTTAAATTTAAAATTGAACAATTTTGATCGATTTCCTTATTCCCGTCTGATTAATAGCGACTGTTTATTTCCGAATCTTCAATCTGTTACATTGTCTTGGATAACTGTTTTGGAATTTAATAGAAATATCGAATTATTTAAAAGATTAACGTTTTTAGAAATAACACGACTCGATAATAGACTAAATAGAATTACTATCATGAACGGTAAGCAAAGATGAGAAAAGAATTAATTATCAAGGGCATGACTTACATCACATCGATCCTAACCCAGGTCGCAGGAAATGAGACATGAAGTGAAAATGATCATATTATGATCCTAAAATGATTTAAATATGAGCTTAAAATGATATCATATTTGAGTCATTTTAAGACCATTTCATAAAATAAGATAAAAATGATGTATATATGATATAATTTGTAAAAATGATCTAAATACGATCCTATTATGATCATCTAAAAATGATCTATTTATGTATCATTTTTATATCATATCTCTAGGATCATAGATGTGACATTTATGTGTCATTTTTACATCATTTTTAACTTCTAATCTAAAATCATTATTTTCTTACAATTATATTTGTCACATTTTATGATCATAATTAGATCATATCATTTATGTGTATTAGATTAGTCATTTATGGGACATTATGACACAAACGAAAGTAGCACTTTTTATGGAATTATGCGCATTTATCTTCTACCACTTTCCACAAACACTGTACAGAGTTGAGCCTAGAGACTAAAAGATAGTAAAGTTAGTTTCTGATATTTTTTACTTCGACGTCGACCCGCGAAAACCCTTTCTTCAGGGTGAAAACCCCTTTTTAAACTTTATTTTCCGTTTTTCGCCGTGAAGGAAGTGTTTTCCAAGGTGGGACTAGAAGTGAAAAAATGTCAAAAATTAAGTTTACTATCTATTAATCTCTAGGCTCAACTCTATAGAGTGTTTGTGGAAAAAACTAGAGGCTAATTAATCAAAATTACTAGTTTTTTTTAACTTCAAAGTGAAAATCCTAAAATAGAAGGAACAAAAACATATATATTTGTATAGCCGTGTGATGTAGTGGATAGCATCGTAGACTTCTGATCTACAGGTTCAGGGTTCGAATCTCTGCATGAGCTGTTTCATATTTTTTCTTCTTTGCATTTCTTATCTCATAAATAGTCTTAAAATGGTCTTAAAATGAGCCAAAAATGATCTAAACAGGATCATAATAGGCTCATATTTTGATAACCATAATAAGATGATATTTATCCCATAAAAAAATGACATAATTATGACTACATTATGATACAATAAATGAGATAAATATGGGAGAGATATGATTTAAAAATGAGCCATATATGGCACATAAATGAGTCATTCATGGCTCATTTTTTATCTCATTTTTCACGGCCTGGGGTTCATGTTTTGGAGGTTATATTACCATTTCAATTTATTGGTATTAATTACGAACGTTATAGTACAATAACACATGAAACTTTGAATCACGATATGACAAATACAAAAAATCAACTTTATGGATATTAATACTAAGTCTTCGGACAATAATTTCTAGTCTTTATCAAGGATTTACACATTTTGCTGAAATGCATACATGCTATTCTTCATCAATGGTTAGTCGAGTATTTTGTACTCATCGACAAGTATAATTATTCATTCAAAAATTGTTGTATATGCTGCTAAACGTAAACATTGATTATCTGTAATGGTACAACCAGCTAATTCGAATAATATTGTAAAAAATCGTTTTCATACAGGAATTTGTATAATTAAAACATTTATTATACTTTTAGCATTCTTTCTTTGTCATTTACTATCCGTAATAGTTAGCCTACTACTAGGCATTTCACAATAGAATGTACTCTGTTTTTTTTTGAATAATCTTTCATAGAAAAGAGACAGAGACCTGCGGTTTTTGATTTTCAAAAGAAAAATGCTGGAGCTATCTGAATATAAATAAAAAATCGAAAAATGTCAACTGCAGGTGGAATACCATATCAAAACCTTTTGTCGACGAGCGACTTATCTGACACCATACACGTCCGGAAACCTCAAAGATACTTTATAGATAGGATTTCAGCTGTGCTGAGCATTGTGGCAATATTTATTTTCTTCCTCACATTAAAAGAACTTCTACTGAGCCGTTCTTTTCAAAATCGCATTTACACACTAGAACCTCAATAGGTTAAATATATTATAAAACTTTTATTTTTCAATCAAATACGCGAAAATTTACAGAATAAGTCGAGTTTGGTGCGTAAAATACGGCTGTACAGCAAAATGTCCATGAAACACACATTAGCTAACGGAGATATCGTGTTAATTTTTCTCTGATTTGATGTGTAAGGGTCTAATCTAATGTAAATATAGAAATGTTGTTTAAGTTTTCTCAGGCTCACCCTCTAAAGATGTCCAGGGATCTAAAAATATTTCTGAATTCAACAGAATGGATTTTACAGAGACTACAGTAAATATCACATACACGCAATGTAGAATTAAAGCAAAAAATTTTTCTTAATTTATTATACATCGTGGAGTAGAGCTCATCGAACTGATGAGCAGAAAGAAAATGTATTTTTAATTATCCAAAATATTTTTTTCATGCCGATAACTCGAAAAAACCTTCAAATCTGCACTATCTCGGCTCTAAGTAGTTTTGAAGTGTTCAAACAATTTTTTTCAAATTCAGTGTTAAAAAATTGAATAGCAAAATATAGTGTTGGCTAGCGGTATCTTCGCCAATACGATCACTTGACTTTCGCCAATGGGTAAAACTCCGGTGGACTTTCGCCATTATTGGCCAAAGTCAAAGGACTCAAGCGTGATCTGATGATGAACTTGACAATGAAAATGACATGTCTGAATCTGAAATGTCGTTTTTCTTTTTTCCTTTTTTTCTACTACCAACAGGACCATCAACAAGGAAAGCTAATGATGTTACTGTTTCAGCCAATGACCTTTTGCTCAAAGTCGATCTTATCTTTAGTCGAATGTATCTTTTGTACATGAATCGAGGGGATGGAGCCAATATCGGCCGAGGTTCGACGAGTTTCGCTAACTCCACTTCTGTTCCTTGGCAATTGGCGAAGGTTCTGTGGACTCACGCCAATATTTGCGAAGTTCCTATGAAAGTTCGCCAATATTGGCGAGAACCCACTGAACCTTCGCCAATGCTACCCCCTACTTTTCGGCAATTGGCAAAGTTTACCTGATTTTCGCCAGTACACCATCCAGACATTCGTCAATAATTGACAAAATCTTATTAGCGAAGAGCGGGAACCCTTAGTGTTTAGCCAGTTTCGAAGTTAAAAGCCTGTCGGGCATGGACTCATTGGTGCGAAGAAGATTTGCAGTGCATCAAACAAGCGGAATCATGCTCCTTTAATTTATTTATTTTGTTTAATATTTTAGTTAATTTTTACTGAAGAAAGCATGAGTGACGGAGATACATGACAGTTGTTCAACGAAAAATACTCACTAGAATATCATTTTTTAAGCTGGCTCCTATCGAAGTATGGTTCCCTGAACGGATGCTTTACGCACAAGAACGCTAATTTTTCAACTCCAACTCTCTCAACAAGAATCTAAACTCCAGTTCAACTCCGGTTGCTTTACTTTTGTAAGAAAGGTTTTTCGGTTTTTAGCAAGATTCTGGACGTTTTTGAGCTTTTTCCGGAGCTTTGTCAATCGTTTACAAGATCAGTTTACAATTACTGAAAATTTCCAAAAAGTGCAAAAGGGAGTTGAGAATAAACCTTCAAAAATCCACCTACTAAAATCTCAACTCCATCTCCACCAAAAAAATCCCCAGCTCCTGAGTTGGTGCTGCGCAGCCCTGGAATCTAGTGCAGTTGAGTGCCGTCTAACGAACGAAGTGAAAATACAACAGTGGGAGAAACGGTTTGATTTTCGTAAAATTGCTCCAAAAAAAGTATGAATTTGATAAAAACCATCAAAAACTGATTTAGCGTGTAAAATGCGTTTTTTAAGTTTGTTTTGGCAAAGTCGATGCTGTATTTTGTAGAGAATTCAATTCTTTATCCATCGGATGCCTTTTCAATTTTTTAGAAAACTTAGTAGGTTAAGAAATTAAAATCAGAAAACTTCAAAGTTTTAAATTTGAGCTTCGTTCTCTTTGAAGTTGATATTCGTAACCAGCGCAAAAAATTGTATCTAATAAAGAACTTCAAAAGCTTATTGAGAGAAAAAATATTGCTCAATCCGAGCCGATCTGAGGAAAAACAAAAGAAGGGTCTTTTACCTAAAAAATATATGCGATACGTTCTTATGCGTAAAACATCCGTCCGGGGAACCATACTTCGATAGGAGCCAGCTTAAAAAATGATATTCTAGTGAGTATTTTTCGTTGAACAACTGTCATGTATCTCCGTCACTCATGCTTTCTTCAGTAAAAATTAACTAAAATATTAAACAAAATAAATAAATTAAAGGAGCATGATTCCGCTGGTTTGATGGAAGCGACAAACAGTTTTTGAGGAAAGAGGAGTGATGTCTTTTTTGTCCGGAAGATCTTTTTTTTACCACGGTTGGATAGAGCTCATCGAGTTACGTAGAAAAGCCTCTGCTTTGGATTTTTAAAAGTGATTTTTGGTGGAGTATATGCTTAGTGCTTATATATACGTAGTACTTGATGGAGTATATACACTCTAAAAAGAAATGCGACTGCATCTATGTGCCTTCTGCAGAAATATGAATTGAATCTCGGAAGGAATATTTCCTCGCATCGGTCTTTGAACTTTTCTGACCAAGGTGCATTGGAGACACTTCACCTCTGGAAGCGCTCTGTGTTCGCATTGTTCAGGTAATTAAATATAGGTCAAAGAACATCAAGCGATGAAAGATGTAGTTTTTATCACTTGTTTGTATTGAAACTAGTTTCGTCCCATTAAGATATGATTTATAACATATGAATTTCAGTCGTGTAATTCCTGATTGTTTCTACTTTTATTAATAACAGGTTCTGTATCAGTGGATGACAACCGACAAAAGGATAAATAATAAATAATTTGTGATATGTACATACAAAGTAGTAAGTGTCATTATTGTTTTTTTGTAGTTGAATTGTTGGATGCAGACGTTAGTCGTTCTTGTTCACGCAACATCTGAATTGCCAGCTCTTGAGTGTAGGTCAAACTTGATCTAGGAAAATCACGACTCCATGATACACGGTAACCAGGGTTATCAGAATTCGGAGATAATGAACCTGGATCGAGTGTTGCTTGCCATCTTCCCGTCGATGAACCTGGACCCGCGTAAGCGGGACGCATTTATTACTTTATTTATCAATATCAGAGAGTATACTGATTACTGAAGAAGAAAAGAATATACTACAAAGATAAAGAGATACTGGTTAATATAATAAGGAAAAACAGATGTACATGAAAGAGAAAGAAAACTTCATTAGTGGAAAATATGTTATGTGCTAATAATGCCAGAGAAATAAATAAGATGTTCCCTATTATAATATGTTGTTTAGTTATAAGGTCGTCTATTTCTTGTTCTAAATACGCAAAAAATGTATAAAGTTACAATATAACAAAAACTGACATTGATTGACAGGAAAATATGAGGTGTTATTATCAGAAATAACAAATGAAACTTATAGATTTTCATTGGGTTGTCTTATCAATAAACATTATGATTTGATTAATCTTCTAACCAGAATTATAGAAAATTGAATTGAAACTCTCTATTTTCAAAGAAATGAAACAGGATGGACAAAATTGCGGTCTTGCTAGACAATGTTTCTTCCATCTCTTATTTCTTTTTGCATTATTCCTCGAGCATTAAATGCAAAGTGTTCCAATTCATCAGAAAAAGCAATTTGGATTTAAGACGTAGAGTATCCCTTCACTATGCATATTATTTTGAAGAAATGACGTTTTCTTTTAGTGACCAGTATTTGTGCTATATTGACGCAACTTTATCATTCGATGATGAAACTGCTAAAATGCGTTAAAGTGTTTCAGTCGCTTTGTAAAGCATGAGGAGTTGGCCACAGATGCAAACATGTATATATTAAAACGTAATATCTGACAATGATATTAATCCTGGTGGTACTTATCAGAGCGCCGTATGGATTGGACTGAGTTCATAGTCCAGTCTAGTCAAATTTTTCATGGACTCGGACTGGACTGGACTCAAAGTTTCAAGACTATGGACTGGTCTGGACCAGGGAAAAGTTTGGATGGACTTGAATCGAGGAAAAATCGGTAAATCACAAGTCGTTTTGATTTGTTAAAGACGATTCTAGGATACTAATAAGGAAAAAGAAATAACAGAATAAAAGTAAATTCTAAAAATGGCTCGAGAAGAATTAGAGATATACCCAGAAGGATGTGTTAGTCAAAGAACTAAAATAAAAATGAAATAATCCATATCTCTCATTCTCTAGTCCTTTTTACAATTTACTTTTATTCTGTTATTTCTTTTGCTTGTCTGTTAATATCATTGTGTGTTCCTTTTAGTTTAACTACCGTCAGACGGACTATTTCATATGCTCATTCAGCAAACATATTGAACATTTCTTTATAAGAATAAAACAAAATAAGGAAATATGGGAAAGTTTCCATATCGATTACTTTTAACCCTAAAGCGCAATCAAAAAATATTTATTTTGAACACGGTGCTGTGCATCAAAGTGGAATCCAATGTATTTTCTGGTGCTTCAGAATATCAGCTTTCGTTTCTTGTATCATAAGTTCGCTACAAACCTTTTTTCTGCCACGAACGAAGATTTTACTAAAAAGTAAAAAGAAAACGCAAAATTTTTATTTCTTCGCCCTGGTACAGGAAATGAAATGGGGCTATTGGACTTTCTCTGTTCGAATGTAACAGAAAAAGTTTCAAATTGAGCTCGGTATACCATCTGTTAGACAAATAATTCTATTCTAAATTAAAATTGATTCATAAAATCATGCACAATCAGTCTCCTTCCTACCTGAGAAGTCTAATTACGTTAAAAAGAGAGACAAATACTAGACAGACGAGTCACTATGTACCAATAGATATAGTTCCTCCAACATTCAACATATCTTTTGTAGATAGGTCAGTACTGGTGAACGTCATACATGACTGGAACAAACTGCCCTACGAAATGCGAACTATCACAGATGCTGAGAACTTCTCTATAAAATTGAAAAGTTTCCTAAGTTTTCCATCTCGGCCACTAGTTTGGTACAATGTAAGATGTCGGATAAACATTATCCATCTGGCTCGTATACACCTAGGCTTTAGCTTTCTATTAGCAGACGAATATAAATGTCACTTCGTTGCGACACCAAATTGTAGTCATTGTGATAAGCCTGAAACAGCTGAGCATTACTTTTTAAAATGCATTCGATTTGTCCAGGAAAGATCTATCTTATTGAATAATATAAAATCGATTACCGCATTACCACAAATTGCTGAACTCATTCTAAAATGTTCAATTGATCGCACCCCAGAACAAAACATCCTTATCGTAAATGATGTCCATAAATCCATAGTTGACACTAAAAGATTCACTTCACATTCTTGACTTCTTGTGCTACTCTGTTTATTGTTATATGTAGAGAGAAAAAGTTTTTTGTATATTACAATCCTCGTTAAATAAATTAAACTAACCAACTAACAGGAAAAGTTTTCAAAATTCTTCCATGATCCGTTCTAGAAAACTCCTAAAAAGGAGGGGGAGTTGCTCTTTATCGTTACCGATCAAACATTGTTAGACTGCTCAACACATTCATTTTCATGTCGATTGGACAAGTTGTCACTATAATACTGTGATTACCATGAATTGGCAATAAACTTACAACTGATAAGACTATTTCACATTTTTCTAGTGGGAAATAGCAGTATGTTATGTATGTTCATTTTTGATCCTCTACAACAAAACCTACCGTCTAGAAAAGCTATAGAGATAGGATGCTGTAACTTTTGTTGAGAATTAAATTGTGCATTATTTCAAAGAAAAGTCAAGATTTTATCATATGTTTGAACTGTGTGTCAAACAAAAAATGTTGCAAAACTTTTGCCACACTCTATACGTTCGTTTTTGGTTTTTCTCCAAACCGAAAATTTGTTCTCCGATTAACTTAGCCTTGTCAAGACATGTTATCAGTTCATAGGGTGAAACATTTTGTTGCGAGAAATGTTATCTGCAATTTGATTTATTTCACGTTAAGGAAAGAGACTGAAAACCTTTTTCTAAATCAGTTTTTGACGAAAAATATAGTTTCAATACTTCCAAATTGCAATACAACTTCAAAACGTCAATTTCATCATAGATTTTTTTTCCGTTTTTGAGATCCTCTCAGTATTTTGGCTTTTTCTCCATGAAGAAATGGTTTTAGAAGGTTGGAACGGTGATATTCAAATGCAGCTGGAGACGACAAATCAGAATATGTAAAATAAAGTGAAAAACTAATTTCATTTGAATTTTGAATTAGCTGCATATTAATTGAAACGTTTTTCTGAAAATGCTCTGTGACAAAACAAGGAAGAAAATAAATAAATATTTTACGTTCCGCTATGTCTGATACATGGTAAAAATATTATGGTGACAATGAATAACATTTATCTTTATACCATTTCATTACTGGTGAGCGCTGTTCTTTATTAGGGATATTGATTAGATTTGGTTTTATTTCCAACAATATTTTCACTATATCTACGTACTTTGAATAGAATAAAACTGTTTTACAGCTTTGATCTCTTGATTTAATATTAGCACCAGCCATTGTCAAAATTATTATATATTCTGTCTATCTTCTTGATACAGCATACATTAAAGATGTCTGCTGTTGATTATTAGTTACATTTACGTTTGCATCAGCTTTAATCAGCCCCAAAACAGACTCTTTAATAGAATGGTTTGATAAATACAACTCTAATTTGAACAAGCACTTGATGAAATGGTGTATCGCCATTTTTTTAGCAAGATGAGGATACACTCTGAAAAAAATGCGACTTCAGTGATGTGTCAGCTGAGAAAAAGTGTCTTGCATGTGACTATATTGTGTCTTCAAAATAATAGGTGTCTTCTATATGTCTTCAATGTGTCTACTAGTAGCCATATAGAAGTCACATTGGAGTCACATGGAAGACATGTGAACGAGAAAGACGCTTAGTAGTCACATCATTCCACCTTCCATGTGTCGGTTTTTAATCAAGGTCCTACACGAAATGTCAACGTAAGAGGCTAATAAGACTAAAAACTAATGTGCCTGTGTGGTTCAGTGGTAACACATTCGTCTCGTAAGCGAATAGACCGAGTTCAATTCTTGACAGGAACAAAATTTTTTTAATGCGTTTTTTCTAGAAGACACATCAAAGCGACTTCGACAAAGGCGCTAAAATACGACTAAATGGGATCCGACTTACGTGTCTTTAATGCGACTAGAACGAAGACGCTATAAAGTGACTACCAGGTAAAGTCACATCATGTGTCTTCAGAGAAGACACTAAAATGCGGCTTTTTGGGATCCGACTTATGTGTCTTCCTAGAAGTCGCATTTCTTTTTAGAGCGTAGGTATCGTCATATATAATGAAATGAAGTAGAGAACTGCTGAGAATGGCAGCAGTGACTGTCGAAATATTGTGAAAATAAATCTGTGATTTGAATGAATCATGATCTTCTCAGCAGTTCTCTACTTCATTTCATTATTTAATCTTACTGCTCCTCGCTCTTCATCGTCATATATGTCCCTATAGTTGTATAGCTGTTTCGTTGTTAAAGATAAAATCATCACCACTATGCTTTTATTAGCAAACTATGTTCATTTACAGTTGTTTGATCCGTCGTTCTATTGTTCACTGCACAGAATTTTTGTAAAAAAAAGGAATATTAGACGTCGGAAAATTCCAACTCTTTCTTCTTTTATTTAAAACGGAAACAATACACTCTTACCATTTTTACACTGAATGAAAACAAGTATTAATCTGATGACTTATTATCCGCCATAAAGTTGAAGTGCAAGTCAAATATTTTATGTAGTGAAGCTTTTTTATGTGATATTTTTTTGTGCTTTCAATATGTTACTATTAATACGTATTTGTTCCGGTTTGGTTTTCTTCGTTAGGATTGTACGAAATCAGCTAGAAAAAAGAAAAAAATTCATCTTTTTCTGTTTGCTGCATACTATAAACTAAGCTAAGTAGACTTATGGGTAAAAAATGAAAGACATTGTTTTCGTGCTTTGCCATTAATTTCGCTGATTTTGGTGACATGGGACATATCTTATCCACCGTTCTAGAATTCGTCACAATTACTACATTCGTTCGGCA